TCCTCAAGTGACCGGCTATAAATACTCAAAGGTTTTCAAAACAAACATGGTTGAATTCCGGAAGAAGTTGAGTGGATACAAAGAAAAGATCCTTAAAAGGCTTACGTTGACGGAAGCGCAAAGAAAAGAGCTCACGGAACGGTTAAAGGTAAATGCTATCGATACGATCGCTCGCGAGCAGGAATTGGGACATTTTAGCTGTTCAAAAGGAAAACAACTGATGTGGTTTCACAAGCGGGAGACTCCATTGAAGAGATCAACATTAGAAGCCAAATAGCCAGTGCTTTGTTCCAGGGAGATATGGTTCTTTCCAAGTTTGTTATTTCTACTTTCTTTCACCGTTGCCTTTGAAAGTTGCATCGTCTTCAGAGAGCAACAAGACCAGATTGCTGCGGACGTGAGTGGTACACGTTCCAAGCGGCAAGCGTACAACGACAAAACTTATCCTGGCAAGAAGATGGTCAAAGGGGGTTCACTACTTCTTCGATAAGGGCATAAGTCAGTTGCACATTCCTTCTGCTCAGTGCCAGACGAGACAGCAATCTTCCCGCTTCTCTTGTTAAGGTGAGGAGGTCAAAAGTGTGTTCAAAAAAGCGGCAGACCAGTGGATGAACAACACATGTATTGACTTCACGCCAGGAGAAGATGGTGAGTCGAATAACTGAGCAAGAGCGACTGTTCCTCGAACTATAGCTTTTTGCAGACGACAGCATTCGTGTAATCGAAGAGGACGGATGCTGGTCATACGTTGGTAGACTTGGCGGAAAGCAGAACCTGTCACTCGGCTCAGGCTGCGAATCGGTATGGGCCTCAAGTTGTCTGCGCAGTACCGCAATTCATTCAGTAGTAGAACCAGAACATGACACCTACCTGTATTTCTTATTCCCTTTCAGGTCGGAACAGCTGCCCATGAGATTGGTCATGCACTTGGTTTCTTCCACACGCATTCAAGACATGATCGTGACAAGTATATCACAGTAGACAAAGAAAATATTAAGGTAAGATTGTGTGAATGTCACAGAAAATTAACAACAGCTATTAATTTAGCCTGACTGGCTTGACCAATTCTTACTGGAGACGACTGCAACCAATAACAATTACGATCTAACATATGATTACGGAAGCCTGATGCACTACGGAACAACAAGGTAGGATTTGCATGGAGAGATAGTCTCAGCATCAAGCAATATATGATTCTTAGCGCCTCTCGCAACGAAAAACCTACTATGGTACCTACTCCGGATGCACGGTACGGAGAAACTCTGGGATCTCCTTTCATTTCCTTCTATGATTTGCTTCATGCTCAACAAGTACTACAATTGCACCGGTGAGTGATACGTTCAGTTGATAAGCACCCAAGCTTATAAGTGATAGTATTCCAGACGCATGCAAAGGAACGAAGACGGTGTGTCAGAATGAAGGATTCCCACATCCTCGCCGTTGTTCTGAATGCATTTGCCCAAGCGGGTATGGTGGAAAGCTCTGTGAGAAAAAGGTAGAGGTCCTACTCCTTACGAGCCGAGTTCTTGAAAGGCTGATGGAAACTCCATTTAGCCGGACGATTGTGGTAGAGAAGTGGAGGCGACGGACACCATGGAGGTAAACTGTAGGACAGTTGCTAGGCGAAAACACACTTTCACTGCAGCGTGAAGACTTCAAGAAAATGCAATTACTGATCAAGGGGCGCGGGGGGGGTATCAGTTCTTAGGAAAAGATTGTCTTCAGTAAGCTCGAGAGTTGCATCTTTAGGCGAAACCTGGAAAAAAGATAGAAGTCAAACTTGCTTACTTCTGAGTTCACTAGTCGGTCGATGGATGCAAGTAGCCGGCGGTTTGAAATCAAAAACAGATCTAGACACGCGTCGCACCGGTTAAGGTATCTACGTAAAACGTTTCAAAAACCATACATGGAATACTTGAAAAGTCACCAGTAATGACTGCTTACTATCTCTTTAGGTTCTGTTCGAAGGGCGCTATTGGCACCATACTGAAATCGTCTTCTAACATTGTCCCTGTAATAACCTACAACAGACTTTACTTCACCGAAACGGAACTGGAATACCGCGCCGTCGATTGAATATCTGCGGACTCTTTGGAATAAAACATTGGCCTACGTCCATTTCAGCACTGAACGCATCAGAAAAGTAGTTTTATAAATTATCGCACTCTATTCTCACTTGTCATGAATACGAGCTACTTGCAAAATACTCAGAAAGAAATCTGCTCTCCGCCAAAGGGCAAGGTGTCGTTTTTCGTAATTGTCTTGCCAACAAAGCCCTCGGGAACGTTTGCAATCGAGACATGTTTATCCCATCACTTGTGGCATGCAGCGTGGGCAAGCCTTCCGTAGGAGAGGTCTAGATAAAAAGGGTACTAGTGAGAGCAGATGAATAATGCTTTGCACCTTTTTGCTTTCCTTCTAAAGGGTGATCTTTGACCACTTTTCCCTGTCAGGAAGCTTTTAGCGTTAAGACCACGATCAACACGGTGCATCACATTCAATAAGCCTATATTTGGCGCTTTATATTTATTCTGGATTCTGCTTTAGTCTATCGAGAAGAAAATCTGCTTTTTCTGCTTGGATATTCTCAACACAAGGGGCCCTAGTTGACCCGATGATACGATTAACTGATTGAATGACACGACAAAATTATTATTCTCTCTTTCCCTTTAATTTTCGAACAATTTGAGAAAGCACAGTCGCTGTTCCTGCAATAAGCGGAGCGCCAAGCTTAACCCCCACCATGTTTATCCCATCACTTGTGGCATGCAGCGTGGGCAAGCCTTCCGTAGGAGAGGTCTAGATGAAAAGGGTACTAGTGGGAGCAAATGAATGATGCTTTGCACCTTTTTGCTTTCCTTCTAAAGGGTGACTTTTACCAACTTTTCCCTTCAGGAAGGCTTTTACGTTTAGATTCAGATCATCACAGTGCACCCAGCAATAGCTCTATATTTGGAGCTCTATATTTTATTTGGATTTGCTTTAGTTTCGAGAAGAAAATCTGCTTTTCTGCTTGCATATTTCAACAAGGGGCCCCTATCCCCGATGATCGATTTGTTGAATGACACGACAAAATTATTATTCTCTCTTTCTCTTTACTTTTCGAACAATTTGAGGAAGCACAGTCGCTATTCCTGCAATAAGCGGAGCGCCAAGCTTTACCCTCAACTCAGCAATCTTGTGATATGATACGCTAATACATGCACAACTGCTCGAACAATACTGACTGATACACAGATGATCCAGTTTGAATTCTCATTGGACTTCCTGTTGAGACACTGCAAAAAAACTCACCGTATTACCCTGCATCTTAAGTCCAAGCGTGAACGTAGTGCAGTAGAAAAATGTGAGACGAGCCACCGTGCTTTTTTGCTATTCTTTGACAAGGAGTGATCGAGCTAACAAATTAGCAGATTGGACAGTGGAGCAACATTCTGGCGACATCCAAGCTGTAATTTATTCTGCCAAAGAGGTTGGTAGGTGGAAGACTTTATTAGAAATTGGCCTGACGTTTCGACGGGATCGTCGTCCTCAGAGGCCTAAACATAGCTCAAGGTTTAGATGTTGCACCCTCTACACCGCCAAACGCCTCGACCCTAGCGTTTTTGGCGGAATCCTAGGAGAACTGCAGAAAGAACCCGAATGTGAGAAACGAACTTACCAAACCACCACCACATGAGCCTATCATTGCTGTGTAGGGACAGCATAATGTGTCTCAATGATGTCTCATTGACTAACTACAACTAACAGCGAGTGGAATTGTTCCGCTCATGTGGTGGTGGACTGGTAAGTTCGTTCATCAACATTCAGGCTCTTTCTGCAAATCTCCTGAAATTTCGCTAAGAACGCTAGGGTGTCGAGGCGTTTGGCGGTGTAGAGGGTGCAACATCTGAACCTTGAGCTAGGCCTCTGGGGACGACGATCCCGTCGCAACGTCAGGCCCATTTCAATAAAGTCTTCCGCCTGCCAATCCAATCTTTCGGGCAGAAGAAATTACAACCCGAAACCTCGCAATAATGCCGTGGTTTTATGAACACAAAAGCTGGACACTCTGGCGACAATCGCGTTTTTCGAGACTATGGTACAACAGATTTTTGCTTGCTGTGAACCACCGGGGCACCACCCGGCAGGTAGGCGTGGCCCATGTTTCAACTTAAGCTGAAGGTGTCTATGCTTCTGGTGAGATATTTTCATCTTGACACAATTGTTGTCGTGTCTCTGTCCAACACAGAACAAGATGACAGTTGTCCCAGACTGGAATATTCCACGAGTAACCAGTTCCGTGCCATGTTCGAATGCCACGCCTACTCTGGCTCAAGGATAAAATGTGTACCTTGTAGGCCACCTTTTTGTTTGTGAATCTTTCGCGGAGTATTTGAACTATCGTGGCAAAGCGTTTCCCCTACCATTGTTTA